AAAAAAAAAAAAAAACTTTTAAAAAAAAAAATTCTAAAAAAAAAAATTAAAAAAAAAAAAAAAAAAAAAAAAAAGGAAAACGCTTCATGTAAAACAGCTGAAATAAATATAAACACACACAGCCTGTTTAGTTACCAGAAAGCAAGTGACACAGTGAAACCCCTGAATGTTTTGGTTGTGGTCCAGCCTGGCTGGTTCCGTCCAGCAGGACGTCACAGCTGTGATCTGTTGACACGCACACATTCATTCATTCATTCATTCATTCATAAACTCAGCATTCAATCAAAAAGAAAAAAGAAAAAAAAAATCACAGATACTTAAATATTCAGGGTTAAGAGAACAGAAGAGGCTGTTAGTGTAACCACTGCAGGAGGAATAAGAACTAAAAATGCTGCGTGGCCGTCTCTCCGCTTGAACGGTGGAAGGAAGGGGTGGTGGCGGTGGAGCGCTGCAGTCGCTTAGCGGACGCAAAAACGACAGGGAAGGTGTTGAAGGGGAGAAAAAAAAACAACTAAGAAATGGTGTGCAGAGGGAGGCGGGGAGATAAAACACACATCTGCCCCCTTCCACCCTCATTCGCACCTCCAAATAACAGCTGAGCAGAGTCAGTCACTCCATTTTCACATCATCGCCCGTCTTTGGGACGCGTCCACGTGCCAGCAGAGGAGTCTGGACGCACGCTGTGGATCGTCGCTTCCTCTTGGTTGTTTTCTCTTTTTTTCTCTTTTTGTTCGCAAACATTCAACACACACACACACACAAACGCATGTGCGCGCCTTCGTCTGTGGGCGTCCAAAGCGAATCGTCGGTCACGTACCACAGGTACCACACACCCACCGCCGCCGCCACCGCTCCCATCCTCCAACTCCCCAGGTTTCACCCCTCAAGTCTCGTCTTCACAGCAACTCACAGCTTTCTGGAGAAAACCAGCTCACTTATCTCATAAAAACAGCGTTATTATGCGTGTTGCGATTAGCGCGTGTGTGTGTGTGTGTGTGTGTGGGTGTGTGTGTGTGTGCGCGCGAGTGTGAATGTGTGTTAAGAGGTATCAATGGTTCAGTGGTGTCTCTCTTTAATCATCACGTCCTCTCTTTGACGCTGGCCTTCAATCAACGCACTTCTCCTTCAACCGTTCCATCACTCCTCTTCCTCCTCTTCCTCCTCCTCCTCGCTTTCCTCCTCTAGAGGTCTTTATTTTTGGACTTGGAAGATGAACAGGCGCAGGTTGATGTTTTTGGCGGCCAGCAGTTTGTTGCACTCCACCGAGTCGGAGATGGGCAGAGGGACGTATTCGGTTTCGTTGGTGTCGTTGCTGAAGGAGTGGTGGTAGATGACCGGCTTGATCCGCACGTCGTCGTACGGCCCCTTCAGCAGCAGGAAGGAGCACTCCAGGGCAGAGTTCACCTGCGTGCACAAAAAAAAAAAAAAAAATCCATTTGAAATCAGTCCCCTTTTACTTCGATACCCTGAAATAAAATCCAGAGCAACCAACTGCCTTCAAGAGTCAAGTCAACTTGGAAACAGCTGCTCTCTCTCTCTCTCTCTCTCTCTCTCTCTCTCTATAGACTTAAGCCTTAGAAATACATTAAAAGATGCAAATAAACAATTTATTTATTTTTTTAAATAAGAAAGTAAACATTTTATAGCCTAAACTGCAACACCATAACATTCCTATAGATGAAGCTAAAACTATACTGCTTGAATTCTGGCTAAAGATATTTACAGACAAAGGAGTTTTTATCTTAAATGAAAAAAAAAAAAAGTTTTTTGTACAGTTTTTTTCTTAACTGAACATGTTGTTTTAATAACTAAATGGCCTTTTTTGAGTCTAGAAACTCTTAACGATTAATTAATTCCTAAATTAGCAAACGATTATTTTAATAACCGATTAATCACAATCTGATTAATCGTTACAGCTCTATTTGCAATAACAATAAATTTGGGATATTGTGCTTTATATGCAGCTAAATGTCACCGAGGTATTGACTCCAGGGCTACTGAAGTCACGCTGACCTCCATTTATAGACTGTTTAGAAACAGCATATTAAAAAAAAAAAAAATCACAAAAATGTGCTGCTGTGTTTTCTATCGTGTATCATCATGTAAAACACACTGAAGTTTCTGAAAAAGTCCAGGAGGTGAAAATACTTTGGTGAAGATGTTTCTCTAATCACTCTCTCCCGCTCTTTGAGGTCACCTGGTCATGCGTTGCCATGGCGGCGCTAACAAGGAGCTGGTGCGTTCAATCAGCCCGACTGGAGGGAGACGGCTTGGACTGGGTTTTAGTTTATCGCTTGGCTTTGAACTGGAGTTGTTCAAGTTAAATATGGAAATAATATTTATGTTTTCTAGAGATTTCATTGAGTTAATAGAGTATGTAATGTGCATAAAGAGTGAATTTTGTAGTAAAGTTTTTAAAAAACTGATTGGCCTGAAACAGTACGCCTCATTCGGGGAAAGAAGCTGAAGATGTAATCCATTTTTACACACACACACACACACACACACACACACACACACACACATTAAATCGTCTGCATCCTGTTTTTCTTGGTGTGTATTTCTGCCACCTCAGCCATTTTAAAGACACAAAGTTTTGACTCTAAAGCCTTACAGACATTAGAAATTGACTAATTTCATGACCATATGTTGCACTGATATCTGCTTACTAATTAGTGAATTAATTAAAGTATAAAACTTATCCTGAGGTGCTCTATTAACATGAACAAACTGAAATCTGTGGCTAGCATCCAAACTGATGAGCTGCATTGTTTACTGCTGCTAATCTCATTTGGCTAATATCTGTGGGTTAGGTCAGCTGCTTAATCTGGGGATGTCCAGCTTAATTAGGCAGCCACACACTGCAGATGATCAATGCGCCGCTGTCATGAGGCTTTCTGGTTAAACCCAAGTTTCAATTTTTATTTATTTATTTATTTTTTTTTTTATGGAAATGAGGAAAATCACACAATACTTGATCTAAAGAGCAGATTTCCTCAGAAAGCCTGGGGTAATTCTGAAAAATCATTAACGAGTCTTAACTTTTTGAACTTCTCTGACAACCAAACCATGAAGCGTTGCTCTCACTCGGGAAGCGTCGTTATTGCTCCCTCCCTCAGGAGTGGAGCCATTTCAAGGCTCGTGGAGAAGCCGAGGCCATTTCTCAGTGCCTCGTGTGTCTAATGAAGGAGAAAGACGGCTGTGGGGACACACCCACATTAGGCAGCTCTGAGAATGAATGGCTCGGCGTTTCCCCGCTGGAAGAGGCAGCGAGCGAGCCGCTACTTGTCTCCAGGTCTCGGGTGGCCGACACGGCGAGGAGTGTGAAACAAGTGAGCGCGATCTCCGGGGAGATTCCACCGCTTCTTAAATTAGATGAATAAACTGACACACCTTCTCCTCCCAAACCCCCCCGACCCCCAAAGTTTGTCGTTTCTGTTTTTCAGCATTTTCCCGCTCCCGATTTTTTTTTTTTTCCTAAAAAAATGAAGTTCACATCACAGCTTGTGTAAAACTGGCTACCAACTATTACAATGCATTAAACGATGGTCCATCGCACACATTTCTCTTTTATTTCCAAAAATACTTTATTAATCCCTGAGTGGGATTAATTAAAAACAAACAAATAAATGAATAAACTTTGGCTAAAGGATGTTAAAATTGAGTTTTTCCTACCCGACATGATCAGGAAAAGAAAAGCAATATTATTGATGAACACTGCAGCACAATCACTGTTGCAGTTGACCAAATGTTAATTTGAACTTTTCATCATTGTGCTCACCACTCTGCATGCAATTTAGTGCTACAATCCTTAAGCAGTGTGGGTACGGAGAGCAGGAAATGTCCACACAAATGGCCAAATACATCACTGGTATGCAGAGTCTCAATTCATGGCACTTAAAATATAAACAGCTCGCTACATGTTGCATCCAATCAGTCTTAAACAACTGGATGTTGCACATACTGACACATCTCTTCCACACTTTCTTTTCCCACACATGGGACAATGCACATGGATTAATATTTCTGTAAATGTGTCAGAATGGCTGTTTTTCCATCTGTCGGTCTGGACAATGAGCTGGGACACAACGGGAAGATAAACGACTTTCAGACTTCTTCCCATACTTATACAGGCCTGGAAAACACCGAAATCAAACTCTAGACTTTTCCAGACTGTAGAAACTTTGATTTGAGTTAAATTTTGAAGCCCAAACAAAATATGCTAGAGTTGCTTTCTGGCTGCTCATCCCCACTTTGGTTGATTTCAAGTATCTTTTTAAGGATCGTAGTTCACAGAGGGCAACAATTTTCGATCCGACAGAAGCTCTAAGATTTATACGTCAAAGGATTTGCTCTTAAACCTTTATCCAATTTTTTTTTTTACCAATGCTAAACAAAACGCATAGCAGAAAATGCACTGATGGAGGTTTTCTGTCTCGATGCATTTACTGAGAGAAAAACTCAGATTTCAGTAGCAGATTTCCATCGTTGACTAGAGCACTCGTTGTTTAGCACGTTTCCTGCTGGTTAAAATAATCTGACTAATTGAAATGATCCCACAAACCTCTGCAGCGACGTCATGTAGAAGGAAAAAAGCAGACGCAGAGAGAAGAGGGTGTACCTTGCTCTTGAGGATGAGCTGGAAGGAGAGCGTACGCTTGCAGGACAGATTGGGATTGCGCTCAGAGTCGTTGACTCGGGCCTTCAGCACCCACGTCTGGTTGAGAACGGTGAAACGTGGAGTTTCGTAGTACAGGCGAGTGATGAAGTCGTCGGTGCGGTACGGTCTGAACTGCACCTCTGAAACGACGAGGACGAATCAGAACGAGGCGAAGGAGCCGGGGGGCGCGGAGCGACCAGATCCGAAAATCGTGCCCAGCGTTCTGTACCTGTAAAGCCGATCTTCTCGTAGCACAGCAGGCTGAAGATGCTGTTGTATAGCTGCATGTCTCTGCGGTGGTTCTGGTCCATCTCTCCCAGTATTCCCATCAACTCTGTACCAGTCTTGGTCGGGTGAGAGCACTCGCTCTCGTGAGCCGGCAGCTCGTGAAACGGGCCTTGCCAGGGGCAACCGATTCTCTTGTACTTGCACTGCGTCACCCTGGAAACATGACATGCAGATGCAGTTAATGTAGGGAAAAAAAATGAATAAATAAAACGCAGATGCTGCTTCGTATAAATTAGATCGTTTGCCTTGTGATGACTATGGGTCGCTTGCACCGATTGGGAGTTAATGGTACGAAAGGTACTAATTAACCCGGGAAGTGAACTGCAACAAATGAAAGCAGTGCTGGGATGAGAGCACAACCTCCGAGGGGAAAAAAGCCATAGATTCGTATCAATTACGCCATGGATAAAAGGTGAATCTTAATAAATACCTGTTCCTCTCTAAAGCTAAAACGAGGCATTAATAATTTGAAAGGTGCTACTTAGTCTCTGCAGTGGGGCAGAGCTAATTGAAGTGGCCCTTGTATAATTCTCGGCTTCCACGGAAAACTTTTGTCTCACGCAATCCGACCGGAGCCAGGAGAAGAAAAATACGTGAAATCTGTGGTTATAATTACAGCAACTTAAATACGGAGCCGAGGGTCCAAAAAAACCCCGACGGCTGTATTGCTGACAATAACATCCTGAATGCCGCGTCCTGGCAGGAGGCCGGCCGCATTTTCCGTCTGACCCGACTGAAAACCACCTGGAGCCTGCCGCGGCTGCTGTCATAACAACGCAGCGCTCGTCAAGGCAGGGTCGTCGTTCGCCATGGAAACAACCTCGCAGGATTTCAGGCGCGCCTGAGAATCACCTGTGACTAATGCGTGCTCTGTAATCACTCCAGCAGTCCATCTCCTTGGAGTCTCCGCCGTCTCTTTCCATCTTAACTCTGAGACGCTGCGATTCGCTGGCTGTCAGAACAAATACGCAATCGTACTTTGCAGTAAGAAATGGCCACTTATGTTTTTTTTTATCTTTGAAAGAACCAAATTTTTTTCTTCATATGATCCTGTCTAAATTGGTTATGCAATTTAGACAGGATCAAATAGAATTATGCAGTTATAATTCAACTGCATGTAATGTAGTTGAATTATAAGAGCTTCATTTTGCATCAGAGCTGCAGCACAAATTCAGACATTTTTATCGCCACTGCATCACAGAGCACAGTGATTAAACAGTAAGAGAAACAAATATTGATTCATTTAAAAAAGTGAATTATATATCAGGCTTGAAGGATATTTTGAAGGAAACAGACAGTCGGCATTGGATGCCATGAAACAACATTTGTCTTCTTACAATTTGCCATTTGCTTTTCTGAAACTCATGTTCACATCAGATAAGCAGCATTCAGTTTCTATACTCCACTAATCTGGAACAAACTTCCAGAAAACAGCAAAACAGCCGAAACACTCAGTTCCTTTAAACCAAAGGTAAAATCCCACATGTCTAGAGTTGCCTTTGATTCACAACAGCTGGGTATTGATCAACATGTTTGAAGATTTTGATAAAATGCTGTGTTCATTGTTGCTTGTTTCATAATTAGTTACTGAATTATGTTTTTATGACGTAAATCACTCACTGCTGAAATATGCTACACAAATAAACTTGAAATTGGGGTAAAATAACCAGAATAAATTCAAATTGCTATTTTTTTTTTCATTTAAAAATGTAATTTATCGGGGGAGAAACTTTGAAACTTTAATGCCCCTTTTGCTAAATCATAAATGAAATGGTAAAAATTTGCAAACCAAGTTCAGACTTCAATATCGTCAGATCTGTAGAATAAAGTAACCTCTTAAGTAGAACCTGTCTGGCAGCATGAAGTAGGCCAAAGTGGCAAAGGAAAGCATCATGCTCTTATCTAAAGAAACTGCAGAACAAGACTTTAAAGATGTTAAGTTATTCATCTACTGGTATGGAAAATGGCTTAAGGATTCCAACAAACCACAAAGGCACAAATGGAGAGAACAATTTTTAAAAAAAGTGTTCAACTATTCCAAGAAAATCAAGCTGGGGTGTTTTCACACCAGAACAGTCTACAGGACTCGGTTCAATTGAGCAATGGAGGGGGAGAGAACAAGACGCGCTGCTGTGGTTACAGAGACACCAAATGAGGCGTTTTCAAATCCCATAAAAGCCAATAAGTCACATATAGAAGATGAATCACTTCCTCTGTTTGATTTGCTTGTATCCATGTTTATGTCAGAGTTTGTGTCTTTGGACCACACCAGAGTTCAAATGAGCTTTTACATGATATGCGCAACAAAACGATTTACATTGGACCAAAAACTGAGCTAAGGCACTCAGCTGAGATTCGTGATTCAACATAAGAAACAAACCGGGGGGAAAACGAGTCTGTAAGAGAGTTTATCACACTACTGCGAACCAGAGTCAGCTCTGCTTCTGCTTGTTTTTTCACGGTGTCATCAGCTGAAAAAAAACTACTCTTCAAACTTCCACTTGACAGCAGACATAATTATCGCAGCTGATAACTACACAGCCTCAACTTCTCTTGAGCAAATAAAAGTTAAAGCAAAGCGTTAATGACCATATTAATAAAGTGGAACTGTTAATATTTCTCAACATCCTGTTACTCAGCACATTAATACTGGCAGTCCTATTATCTTCTGTAAGATTAAGAGCATTTAACGTTTCTGGCTGCTCATAAATTAGGACAATTTGTAGAAAAAAAAACCTAATTGTGACAAAAGTTATTAATTTTTCCCATGTGTTATTCTTAATGTCTAATTGAATGGAGCTGTGAACCTGTCTTGGCACTCCTCCTTCTGGTGCCTCTCCAGGCTGGAGCGGGGGAACTGCTTTAGGCAAAAGGTACATTCTGTCGGCAGCTCGCTGACAGCCTTCTCCACCGCCAGGTTCCTACAGCACAGGTTCTTGCTTATCTCACACCTACATGGACATGGAAAAAACAATGATTCACACGTCAGCGCAGAGGCATAAATAATATTTGTGGAATCGGCAATATGGTAATACAAGTTTGTGGACATTGCAGAGGCGGCAGCTCACTGGGAATAAGAAAAGATCCGCTAAGGCAGATTCTTACTTCAAGACGTAAGACAATCGAGTTACCTTCACTTCTGTGCACACGGTAAATCAGAAATGTCTACGAAAAATATGCTGGTGATGATCAAGAAAATGGTTTCTTGGCTATTGATAAGCGTCTGATCTTTTTTTTTTTTCCCTAAGATTTCCCCCCAAAAATAAAACCTTTTTGTCTTTTGTAAGTTCGGCAAAATCATCCAGATGTTTATTAACACTTGCATATCAACTACAGCTGCACATGCAATTTAATAAAGTTTATCAAATTTATTTCTTTTTCTTTAACACTGGACTGCAGAGGCTCTGAGTTAATTCACACTTTCACTTTATACCAAATTCTTAAAATCTTGTCCCAACCTACAAGCCATACAATCAACTGTTGCTTTTTACCGCTTCCTCTTGATACTGAAGTGTTTTGATGAGTTAAGGAGAAAAATAATCGTAAAAATGCACAAATGCTATCATTTTTAATTGCATGCCATTTTCTGAAAACTCTGCATTACTGAATATGGTTCTAATACCATTGTGGTGCAGCTGACTCATAAAATTATAACCAAGATTAAACCACAAATTCCTAATATTGACCACATGCTGGTAGATGTCATGTGAAAGAGTCGTATAACTATTTTTTATTTTACAGTAGATCATGGGTGACTTTAAAAACTCCATTAAAATAATTAAAGCAGGTACACAACTTCCAAAGAAGAGGTATGCATTGACAACACTGTAAAATTTCCTGCTTCTTCTTGGACTCAAAAACGTCAGGTAGAAAACGGCAAAAACTCTGAAGATGGCAATAAAAAGGTCAGATGACGAACTGAATCAGTCACAGAAAAACAAAATGTCAGGAGGGACTTTTCAGCAAGATGTGAAAACTATGTGGGAACGTAAAGCAAATCTATACCTGCTGTGTGAACAGACTAAACAGATCACTGTCTGTTTCGTGCACGTTTATTTATGTGAACGTTTCACTAAAAGTATTCGTTTAGTAAAAGGTTCCTTAAGAAAGAGTCGGCTGGTATTTTAGGTATATTGGCCTGCTTTGTTTTATGACTAGCATCACGTGAAAATCTACAGATTTTGAAGCTTGAATGTTTTTCTCCTGGCATTTCTGTGAAACCTGGAGTGTCCACAGTGAAGCGGGTTTACCTGCAGTTGGGACACGTGGCCTGTTCCTCCTTGAGACGAGAATCGGCCAAGAGGTGAATAAAACAGCCAGCGCACATCAGGTGTCCATTGGTACACTGACAAAAAGACAAGGACAGGTTAATAAAGATCAAGAGGCACTGCATGGTATACAGACTGGATGCCAAAAAATAAAACAAATAAACATCTAAAACTCAGGTGGGACATTTTTTGCAGTAGTTAATATAGTTTGTTATAGTCTGGTTTAATTTTAAATGACCTATTTTACATTATATTTATACTATGTTTAGATATTTTAAGGATGAGGAAACAGAAAAATATATGGAATTTTGTTATGTTTTTGTTGCTCCCATTGTTTGACACTATGAGGTTTTAAAAAGTACATTATAAATAAAATTAATCATTATAATTGTAGAAGTATGGCCTTTGGAAATAAACATCAACACATATTTAGATAGGAAATTACATTTGGGTAAGAGGACACAAACCTATTTTTATATTATTTCGGATCTTTTAACATTTTGCTGGAATATCTCGCATCACTAGTAACATGCAGGTCAGGTGCTTGCAGCATTTTACTGTCAGATATAAATACAAGCCTACATTTTCAAAGACTCTCAGATCAAGAGCTTTAAGCATTCATATTATGACTCTATGCTAGTTTAAAGCAATAAGCAACAATTACAACTGCATGTGTATAATTTTGATTAAGAAAAAGTGCAGAAATGTTTTGTTAAATAGCTAATAAAGAGAACACAAGAATCGTTACTGGCTATAAAAAAAACCCCCGTCAGTGCATACTAGATACAGGGGTAAAAACACATATTAATCCAGGTTATTTTTGGGTATTTAAAACCTTATTGGACTCTGCACTTCCTTTTAGAAAGTTGCAGTTTAAGACTATTATTTAAGACATAAAACAAAGGTGAAGATTTGTCAAGATGGAGATTTTTGTGGGATGATTTTACAAAAACATCAATAAGAAATCATGCATAGTATTTGATAAAAAATATGGATTTTTTGCAGTGTCAATGACTCGTGTAAATTAAACTTAGGAAAGGCTGTTCTGCACTCTGATTTTGCGGTTGTAAGGTTGACTAAAATCAGAGGTGTCTGAAATTTTGTCTCGACAAAGGTCAGAGATTATTAATGGGCTAAAAGGGAGATAGATAGAAAGTCAATGAGGCCAAGATGTAATAAGTGGGATGGGGCTGTTGTATTTCCTGAGGATGAACAGAGAAAAATTCATCCTACATTGTAAACTGGAGTTGACCACTGGCGTGTCTGTCCTCCACATGGCTGAAATTTACTGTAAGGACACTTTTTCAGACTGTTGTTAGATCAGGTATGAGTAAAAATAAAGGAAATGGGCCCAGACATTCAACAGGTTGACTGTTAGGTTTGGGACACAGAGGGGAGCTTCTATTGTGGTTTTTCCAGCAGATTTATTTATGCTTGACAGCGAGTTAATTAAGGAGCATTAGGGCTTTGGTTGTGATTGGCACCACCTTTACCTGATACACAGACGCCTTGGGCAAGTCTAGGCACACGGTGCAGCACAGCACTGAGTACAGTCTCTCCTCCAGCTTCCCTGACTCTCCTTCGGGTATTTTCAACCTCTTTTTGGGTGGCTCGTCCGGGTCAGACTCGGGCCCCTCTCGCCGTATACCGACATCCTCCTGCATGGCCGCGACCCCGGCGACAGCCTCCACTGCTGCCCCCACGGCCCCGACCCCCAGGCCGGCCGAGGAGGAGCTAGGAGCGACCGCAACGCCCACGTCTCTTTCTTCCAGCGAAGACATTGGGATGGCTGCCTGGAAAAATGCCTGTTATGTACCTGCCCGGACCAGGCTGAGCCCGAAAAATATTAGGACGTTAGCTCGGGTTAGCTAACAACCTGTCGAGCTAACGTGAGCTAGGCTAACACGTCAGAAGCAAGCTCACTGTGAACACAGCCCTGCACACAGGAAGGTTGATTTTAACAAGCCAATTCTTAAGAAATAACGAGAACATGAGTCAAATTTTATAGTAGCTACTAAGGAAATCAAATTTTGACTAGTTTAGATGACTTACAGCGAGGCTAGCAGTCCTTTTTCCTGAGCCCAGGCAGAACAAAAACAACTCGGCCTCACTCAGCTGTCCGTTATTCGCAACGACAGCAGGTAACGACGTGCACTGCCAGCGGCCCTGTTCGGCTGCTCTCCCCCGCGTCCCTGCCTGCTGCTCCGGTACCGGCTGGCTCTCGATTTGTCTGTCTGTCCACTGGACCACGACCACGCACAGAACCTGTCGGAGACTACAGCTGGAGAGAGTTCTGTTGGGACTTGTCTCTCTGGCTACACAGCCATCTTTGTTTTGTTTTGTTTTTGTGTTTTTTCCCCTCCTGTCCGTTCCCTGACTTGACCGTGTTCTGCTTTTTCTATTTCGGGAAGGTTCTAAATTGCAACACTGGGCTCCATGCCGAAAATTTAAAAGTAAATGTATAGCGCCTGCATATGCAGGGGCCTCTACGCTACAGTCGTAAATTGGCTGACAGAGGAATGTTTTGTTGTGGCAGATGACTTGGGGTATTTAAAGAGTTTGAGACACGCATGCGCACTGAGCATCTTTTGCCAGCGCCGAGAAGGTAACCAGAACCTGATATGCGACAAAGTTTGGCTTCTCCCCCAGAGGATGAAATAGTTCACTGTTATTTTTCTGGATCTTTAGATTTTTTTTGCGGAAACTTAGAACACATTGTTTTCTCACTTATTTTGTCTCAAAACTGTTTCAGTGAAATTTCATGAGGCTTTTTTGAAAATCTCAAATCACACTACCCGGTTTACTTAAGTGATTACCAAATATTTCAATCAAGCCCTAATCTCAATTTACTAAGTTTAAAATCTCTATGCTTGTACAAATATACCTTGAGCTTAGGCTAAGATTTCATGGGGAAATTTGTCAGAAGATGGGTTAGTAATGAAAAGTAGCAGTCCTTTACAAATACAGGCTAAATCATGTTTTTTAAGTAAAGCAAATAATATTTACATATTTTTTGATAGATACACACTAATTTTGGGTGCTACTGCTGAAAGAGGAATGCTTTGTTTTGGCAGATGACTTGATAAGTAACACTTAAGTTTGTCCACCAGAGGATGAAGTATTTCACAGTAATACAATTTATCTGATTAGTTTTATTATTGCGCTGAAGCCCAGAGCAAACACCTGTTTTTTCTTCTTTTGTTTATAACGCCACCTTTGCTTTGCTACATCTCATGAATTTTACAATTGAAATTTTCCATTTTGTGAGAAATATTGTCAGCAAAAACCTTCTGATAATGTGCTTATTAATACAGCAAAAGATTTTTCAATAAGTGTAAAATATGGTAATGTAGTATTTGCTAAGTCTGAAAGTTGACTATAGGGAAATACAGCTTTTACATTAAGCAAATAACTATATTGTTAAGCATTTAGCACAAAGGATAACTTGTTCTTAATCTCAACAACAATGTAACTTATGCTAACAGTAAAATGCTATTCACAAAAACAATGAATGCACGCACAGCAAAAGCAATGATCATTTATTGCAGTTCTTGACAAGTCTATAAGTTACAGTAAATTACTGCTTTCATGTAAAGCAAACAAACAAAAAAGATTTGTTGCTAGCCACTACAAGTCAAGGAAAGTTTCTGCAATTAGCTTAGCAACAGTATTTTACATCAAAAGCAACCATTGATTGCTGGTAAAATACTGTTTTTACATAAAATTAATAAAGATGTAATTATATTTCTATTGGTACAAATCAAGTGGTCAAACGTACACATTCTTACGTAACTTTTTCAAAGCAGTTCTGTTAGTTTTTAAATTATTTTGGTATTTAAAAGAGAAGGTATTTTACTTACAGCTGTGAATTGGCTGTTTTGTTGTGCTAGATGACTTGGGGCATTGAGCATCGTCTGGTCCACAGTCAAAAGGTGATCAAAACCTGATATGCTACAAACCTAGGCTTGTCCCCCAGAGGATAAAATACCTCACAGTAGTGGAATTTGACATTTCACTCTTGCTCTGAAGCTCTGGTCAAACTTTGATGTCATTGCTACTTTATTATGTCATGTACTAAAGTTTCTGTAAAATGTAGTTTGTTTCAAACAAGTAAGGATTTTAAAACAACATGTCTAGGGATTATTTATGCTATTAAACATCTCATAAAAATACATAGCTTGCTAGAAAATAAAATACACAACAGCCTTTCATTTCGACACATTCAATTTAAAATCTGTATTTTTTATTTTTTATTTATTTTGCTTCAAAGTTAGTTATTGTTTATATGCATTCCAGGCTGTCTCTCACAGATATAAGTAAAAAAAAAAAATTATGAAAATTTTCAGCAGACTGATCCCTAGTATGCTCAATTATTTCAACAAAATACTTTTTACAGAAAGCCAAAAACAAAAAGATCTTATTGTATTTCTCATTAGATGGGAAAATGTTTTAGTCACAAGCAGGGCCTTTTCTCCAATGGACACATTCATCGCTTCCATTTGTCTTACACGTTTCCACCATGTGAAAAAGTTGAAAGCATTTTTCCTAATTCTAAAATATTGTTAATAATGTTAGTGAAGGATTGTTTCTTCAAACAATAAGCTGCTAACATGTGATGACCAAATCACGTCATTTGTGTTTTGGTGTCCGGACTGCACCATTAAAGGTCTTTTGCTGCAGTCTATAAAATTCAGCTCATTTGAATGAATTCTGTGAATGTGTGTTTTGAGTAAGCATGAATAATTTAGCCAGAGCAGCAGGATCTTTGAGAGAGGCTTTAATTACCCATGGCCCGCAGCACTGACACTTGACCATAGGCATTTATAAGCGCTATCATTCCATCAGTGCCCCCAGATATACAGCTTAGAAGCCACAAAGGTTGCGGATGTGGACTGGCCTGGGTAAGGGGGTTGCGGGGTTGCGGACGTCCTTTGGGTTGGGTGGGGCAGGATGTCTGAGTGTCAGCTGTCTGCAATCGGGAGGGACAGGATTAACCAGCACTCATTGGGCAGAAAGATAGGCCTTATTTGGTGTGTGTGGAATGGCAAGGGACCAGTACCCCCCGTAGGTATGCACAGAAAGTTTGTCCAGTGGCTGAATGTGGTCACACACTGTCCTCAGTGTGTTCCAACCCTCCGGATTGTTTACAACCCCTCACTACACATTCATTTAGACATTACGAATGTCTTTATGGTAAAGTCACCCCAGCAGTAGTTCACTATCAAAAAATATGCGATGAACCAATTGTTAAGGATAATAAAGGGAAATTTACTCATTTTAAATCGGGTATTCATATCATCGCAAACAGGCAAATTATCCAATTATATATATGTACAGACTCATACTTTTATGTAATTAAAAATGGCTACCAGCCGCAGAGATCTCATCTACAAAAGACACAAATGATTTGCAGAGAAACGTAAACAAAAAATACGTAAGAAATGTACTAAAAACGTAATCAAACAACTTATAAAACGCTTCCTGTTTACAAGCTTCATTCATGGGGTTTGGGCAGAGGCTCAGTCACAACACAAAATCCCATGATTAGTTCCAAAATGCAGGACAAATGGCGTATGCACGTATATCAGATGCATCAAATCTCATCAATCAGACTCTATTCATTCTACAAAAATAAAAACCCATCATCTGCCTGTCACCCACAGCTTCAATTACTAGAAAAAAAAAAAATCAGGGCTATTGTTTGCAACAAGGAAAATGATGACCCTGATCTAATTACACAATCAAACAGAGCAAAATCCCAGACACGTTGGGGCTTGTATGTGTTGTGACCATTTGCCTTGGTGTGGTTTTCAGTCTATTTGTGGAGGGCGGCTGCAAGGTGGAAATGTGGGAGCTTTAGTGCTGAAGGACAGAGCTGAAGAATCAGCTGCTGGTCTGGGATTAATTATGCTGTTCTCAGCAATTTGCTATTGTTGGTGTTTGGTTAGAGCTGTCGGATCCACTGGCCACTGCTGTTCCCCGTTCTGCTTGGACTGCAGTTTATTCTGGGATGAAGACTCGGTTTGAGTTATGGAGGAGTCACTTTGATTTAAAAGGTCCACATTTGTGAGCTTTTGACGTGAATCCTGAATGTTTTCCCTGCTGTGCTGCTCTGCAGAGATGGTTTCCGGTTTTTCTCGACAAGCTGTTTTATATAGAGGTGTTTGCTTCTTCTTCTGGGAAGCCGCAGTGTCGATATTGCTCATATCTTCTGATTGGACCAGTGGAGTTTTGTTCTGGTCTTGTCCTCTTGTTGTGAATTCATCATGTCTCCTGGGAGATATTTCCTTCTTGGTGCCAGAGTTTCCTGCTATTTGATTCGCCAGTGATTCTGCTGCTTTTGTTGGAGCTGCTCTGTGCAGTTCTGCTTCACTATCTGCTGAGTCCCTCTTAGTTTTGTCAGGGAGCGCCCTCTGGCTGCAGACTGAAGCCATGGCCTTCACCCAATGGTGCTGGAGGATCTGCTCTGCTGTCAGCCTCACTGTGGGGTCTGGTTTAAGCAGAGATCTGACAAGACCTTTAGCTTCTGTTTGTCCACAAAGAAAAGAAAGAATCAGATTCTGAAAACTGCAAAAGCTTTAAAGCTATTTTGAATTTGTTACACTTTACTTCCACTCATACTGTTTTGTGATCTCTTAAACTGCCTGCCCAAAGCAGCTTCATGCAATTTGTTTAAAAATGGAGGACAGTAGCACCAGTTCAAAAATATGCACTTATATCACGCCAATGGAAAGTTTAAATCTAGGATAGTCTTGTTTGTGCTAAAATACCATTATCTCTCTCTCTCTCTCTCTCTCTCTCTCTCTCTCTCTCTCTCTCTCTCTCTCTCTCTAACAGTTTTTGTGGTATATATTTTAATAGGAAGAGAAACTGATGTAATAAGAAAAAGACTGAAGAAGTAGCTGAAGTCTAGAAACAAACTGTAAAATCTTCATAAAGCCAGAAGTTGTGAGAAATACAGTTTCACACAAGTGTTTTCTATTAATAAGGAACATATAAAGAAATTAGGCATGACTAAAGATTTTACCACAGCATAATATTGCAACCTGTCTGGATAACAGTTATTGTAAACAGACAATACACCTTGTGTTATATAAATGATATGCACTCCAAAGCTTCCACCGTGACATCCAACAAAGATGAATCCAAAACTGAAAACTCTAGAAACTAATGGTAGATCACATTATTTTTTTTTTTACCATGAAAATATTTTAGTCAGGTTTACCTTCTGAGATGGAGTCCCAGTAGGGCGAAGGGAAATGGAGTTCTGCGTGTTTTATTAGCTTGAAGAGCTCCTCCTGATCCCGATCCCGGCTGCGGAACGGGGCAAAGCCACACAGCAGGATGTAAAGAATCACCCCCAGAGCCCAAACATCCACTGCTACGCCGTACCCTGCAGAATAACCAGACTAAGATTATTAAAATAACCTGACTCGCATTCAGTCACAAAAGTGTCTCCAAAGTACCTCACCTGTTTCGCAGAGGATCTCTGGGGCCACGTACGTCG